GAAACAGCTGTACTATTCTGGCCATCTCCACATATTCCCATCCCTACCCCGAATAATACTGCCATCCTCCTGTGGTTTGCTCAGAGGCCTCTCTGTCTGTGTGGAAAGCTCTTTATCAACCTCTGAGCCGACTCCCACTCCCAGGCGGGCACGTTGCTTCTACATCTGCCCTCCACCCCTCTCCTCCTGCTGGCACCTTGGCGGAGCCCTCTGCACTCTGCTGCCCTCAGTGTCTGCCTTTCTCCCTGGAGGATGAACTCCTGAGAGAAGGGCCAGATCCATTTCTATTTTCTGTGTGTAACCCTAGCTCCTAGCACAGTACCTGCCCACACAGCAGATACTTGGCAAACGTGTGCTTAATAAACAAATAATAGCATTTTCAAAAAGAAACCAAAAAAATAAAGGGCGAAAGAAGAAACTGTTTTCACTCAAAAAGGAACTGGACGATATGCTGGGAAGCAGTGTGTATCTGATTGCCAGTCAGGAACCACAAAAATAATTCTCCTCACAAAAAAGTTTTTGTTTTTTATTAACAAACGATGCTAATCTTGAAAAGGCTTATAGTATCATTGACTCTAAAAGCAAGTGTGCTCAAAAACACAATGTACTTGCCAGGCCAGTATTGCTCAGTAGTTGGGCATTGACCTATGAACCAGGAGATCACTGTTTGATTCCTGGTCAGGGTACATGCTCTGGTTGAGGGCTAAATCCCCAGTAGGGGGCATGTAGGATGCAGCCAATCAATGATTCTCTCTCATCATTGATGTTCCTATCTCTCTCCTTGTCCCCTCCTCTCTGAAATCAATAAAAATATATCTTAAATAAACACATCATAATGTGCTCAAATGAAAATTCCAAAATGGAAAATGCTGGTGGTGGTAGAAATATGATTTGATTATTTCCCTCTCTTAATATAGACAAGATTGTGAGAAAATCTAAATTATTCATTATACATAACTCTAGCCAGGGCTAGGTGGTGGTGTTTTGTCACTCAGTAGAATTATATTCAATGGACTTAAAGTTTGTGGATAATATTTAAAGGGGGATCCAGAATTAAGATCCCAATGGGTTGCAATTATTATCATAATCAGAGTGATTTTAACATATATATTAGGGTATCTAAATGGATATTGTCTTAAAGTAGTGGTGTCCCTGAGACACTACTACTTTTTTTTTTTTTTTTTCCTGTGATGCTGCCACAGAGCAAACACTTTAATATCTCCTCTTTTGGAATTATTTTCACAGTCATTCATGAGCCACCCAAGATTTGTGAGAAGAAGCTCACATGAAACTATTTATTCTGGATTGTTCCAGTGAGAAAACTAAAAATTTTAGACTGGTTTTTCAAGAAATCAGTTTACAACACAATAGAAATAAGAATTTTATAGCCAGGACCGGTTTGGCTCAATGGATAGAGCATCGGCTTGGGGACTGAAGGGTCCCGGGTTCGATTCCGGTCAAGGGCATGTACCTTGGCTGCGGGCATATCCCCAGTAGGGGGTGTGCAAGAGGCAGCTGATCGATGACTCTCTCATCGATGTTTCTAACTATCTCTCTCCCTTCCTCTCTGTATAAAATCAATAAAATATATTTTTAAAAAAATCTCCAGTCTTTTAAAAAAAAAAAAGAAACAAAAAACAAAAAACAAACAAACAAACAAAAAAGAATTTTGTAATGACTGAGCTATCCAACAATGGAATATTGGTAAAATTTTTGGTAATGTAAAATTTCCAAAGTGTTTAAGCAAAGGCTAGGTGACCACTGAACAGAAGTGATAAAGAGAGGATCCATGTATTTGAAAGTCCCTTTGAGTTCTGATCATCTGTGATTCCAAGAGTATCTGAGTAATTATTTTATAATCACATTGAGTGCGTAGCATTATAATCTGCACACAACACGCCCTTACTTCTCGAGGTCTATGCTCAACTGTCACCTAATTACAAAGATCTTTCCTACTTGGAATATTATTCCCACAATCTCCTTTCTTCCCTCTTGCCCTGCTCCGTTTCCGTCCATGGAGCTTCTGTCTGACATGTTCTGTAGTTCCTGGGTCATTTGCATGCTGTCTGTCTCCCCCAACTAGAATGCAAGCTCTGTGAAGGAAGGGATGTTTTGGTTTTCTTCACCCCATTAATTCCAGCACCTAAAATAGAATCCAACATGTCATGTGTGTTTAATACATTGTCAAATATAAAAAAACATTAAAGTGTTGCCGAAAAACTAAAAACAAGAGAGACAGAAAGGAAAGTAAAATGCAATTCACTACTTCTTGTACATAAATTACATAGCCTTAAGTTTGCACATATCATATGGGCCAATACATAATTGTTGAAGAAATAAACTTGTGTTATCATTTTCATGTATTTACTTCTTACGTTTTTATTTATTATTTTTTTAAAAATATGTTTTATTGATTTTCCACAGAGAGGAAGAGAGAGGGATAGAGAGTTAGAAACATTGATGAGAGAGAATCATCCATCAGCTGCCTCTTGCACACCCCCTACTGGGGATGCGCCCACAACCAAGGTACATGCCCTTGACTGGAATCGAACCCAGGACCTTTCAGTCCGCAGGCCAACGCTCTATCCACTGAGCCAAACCGGTCCCGGCTACTTCTTACGTTTTTGAAAAAAAAACACAAAAACCCTCAAAGGTTTTACTATAACTTTAATCATAATTCATTATTTTACCTAAAATGTTATTATACAGGTGAATAACTAATCTTCTTCCCCTCACTTGGCTATAATGATTTGCTGTCCTTTCCAAAAACCAAATCATTTTCACACAAGAAAAGATGTGTTACCACTGGAGCTACACAAAAGCATATTCTCAGGCCATAAAAAAAAAATCCAATGAATTCATCATTTCTAATTTCATAATCATCTCTCTCATTAGAATCATTGAAAAGAGTTGTAGCTATTTTTGGAGGCAGTATATCACAATGAGTTAAGATAATAATAGTTAAAATATTTTTGCAAAAGAAAACAGTTGGAGTACTTACACTTGCTAGTTCACTACGAATAACAGAGCTAGACATGTGGTATTGGCATAGAAAATATACGCAGATTCATAAATCAGATTTGAAAGTCCAGAAAGAAACCCTTACATTTGTGGACAAGTAATTTTCCACAAAGGCACCAATGCAATTTAATAGTCTTTTTGTTTTTTTAAAGTGCTAAGACAATTGGGTATTTGCATGAAAGAAGATGAATTTAGACTCTTATCTTACACATATGCAAATATTAAGTCAAAATGGGTAACAAACCTAAATATAATAACCTAACACTATAAAACTTTTAGAAAAAAACAAACAGGAGTAATTCTCTCTGATTTTGAGGTAGGAAGTGATTTTTATGACAACAAAAACTCAAGCAATACAAGAAAAATATGATAAATCAAACTTCATCAAAATTAAAAACATTTGCTCTTCAAAAGACACAAACAGACAAGCCAAAGAATGGGAGAAATGATCTGCAAATCATATCTCTGATAAAGTCCAGAATATATGGAAAATATATGTCCCAATAAGACACAACCTATTTTTAAAATGAGCATAAAATCTGAATAATTATTTTATCAAAACAAAACAAAAAAAACCACAAGAGAGACAATGGACACATGAAATTATTCTCAACATCATTAATTATTATAGGAATGAAAGTTAAAACTATAATGAGATACCATTTCATACTCTTGAAATGACTATAATCAGGGGGGGAAAAAGCAATAGCAAATTAGGATGTGGGGAAACTTGAACTCTCTTCAATTGCTGATGAAAATGTAAACTGGTGCAGCCATTTGGGGAAATAGTCTGTCAGTTTCTGGAAAAGTTGAATGTAAATTTACCACACAACTCAGCAATTCCTATCTATCCAAGATAAATGAAAACACATGGCCACATAAACATTTGCATATAAATGTTCTTACAGCAGCATTATTTATAATAACCCAAACCTGGAAACAACCCAAATAGTTTATACATTCACCACCTGCTAAATACATAAACAAGTTGTTATATATTATACATGTGTTGATAAATGTATATTTCAATGCATTTACATTTTAACCGATTTTTATCTATCTCTATGCTAAAATTATACATTTACAAAGAATATGAGCATTAGCTTATATTCAAATTAACTTCTCTTCCGTTTTCAGCCCAGACACAAATATGAGTGCAAATTCTACCTCTGTGGGCCCTGGGATAGTTACTTGACTTCTCTGAGTCCATATTAGTAAAATGTGGGAATAATATTTACCTCACAGAACTGCAGAATTCAATGACATGAACTATATCCAACCCTTAGCACTTGGCTGGCACAGTGTCAGTTCTTGACAAACCCTCCCCAGTATTATTGTCTGTCTTTTCAGAGTTTATTTGCAAACCTAGGTGTTTCCTGACACTCAGGGCTGAGGAGAGGGGAGCCATCAGTCTGGCTGGCTGACTTCCAATCCGTCGCTTCGTCTCTCAGAGGCTTGGCTGCCACAACCTGTAAAGGAGGACACTGTCCCCCGTCTCTCAGGACTTGTTGTGATCAGGAAAACCGAATTAAAGTGCTTTGTAAACTACAGAATACCATAAAATAAAACATCTAGAGTGATCTGTGAGCAGAGCTGTCTGTTCCCATCCCTGTGTTTTTAGGAGAAGCTGAATAACTATCTTCTTCTCCCCGCAGATGGAAAGGACCCTTTTCATGGCCAGGGTGGGGGTAGCCAGTCGCTTCAACCTGAGCTTGCATTCTCCTGTTGTTCGCACACAGAGTAAAAAGCCGTGTCTCTCCCTATCGGAAGAAGCCTCTCTGCCTGTCCTCGGGAGCTATCAGGCGCAGCTAAATCTGTCCCTGGCCGGCGTGTGCATAATCCCCACTGGTTCTGAGACCTCCATCCACCACCGATGTGACATTCTTTGTGTTCAAATGTCTGGCTGACGTCTGATGCTTAAAACAGCCCATGCCTTCACCCCCGCCACATTGTCAGGGCCTGCATCACCCTCTTAAAAGGCTATCGCAGCCACTCCGGCACCAGTTGCTGGCCAGCCTGCCCCGGCCGCCTCCCGCCCCTGGCCGCCCTGCGTGCCTGGGTCCTCTCGCTCCTGGTGGGTCTGACCAAACAAGGACCATGTCTACCTTCGGCTACAGGAGAGGACTCAGCAAATATGAATCCATCGACGAGGACGAGCTCCTGGCTTCCCTGACGGCCGAGGAGCTGAAGGAGCTGGAGAGGGAGCTGGAAGACATTGAACCTGACCGCAGCCTCCCGGTGGGGCTCCGGCAGAAGAGCCTGACGGAGAAGACGCCCACGGGGAACTTCAGCCGGGAGGCGCTCATGGCCTATTGGGAAAAGGAGTCCCAGAAGCTGCTGGAGAAGGAGCGGCTGGGGGAGTGTGGGAAGGTAGGCTTTCCGGATCTTTCCTCGGCTGCTCCCCGGCCCCTTCCGCCCCCGCCCCTGCCCTAGGCACCTGCTGTCTCTCCCTCTGCGGTCCTCCTCACGTTTCTGTCCTTATAGCCTGCTACTAAACACTGTCCCAGGCTGAAGAGTCCTGTGGCTTCTATGCCCCCCGCCTCCACCAAGGATGGGAATATGTACAGTGATTGGCTGGGGTTCTAATAATTGGCTAAAGATGGAATCTTCAAGAAGAAAATAATTCGCAAGTAAGGCATAGGTTTACATAGTTTGCCAAACGTAAGTGTAATTTGAGTTATAAGTTGAGGATGTGGCATAGTATCTGTGTCTGAAGTTAGTTAAGTAAATTTATTTTCTCTTTTAAAGACAAAAATGGGTACTCTTATTGCTTTGACTATGATGTGGCTACAGTAGAAAGTTTCTTTTTCTCCAACACCAAGAAGTGTGGGGTGGCAGGAAATTATGTGGAACCGAGAGTCAGGGGGCCTTCTTTCTAGTCCCTTCTGTGTCTAAGTTGTTAGCAGACAGTCACTTAGGCTGGCTCCTCTTTCCCGACTGTCCACTGGTATTATTGTCTGCGTGTGAACCAAAACCCCTTTGACATGTGGGGCCGTTGTGGACTTTCTCCTTAAGAAAACACACGTGTGCTTGTACACACACACACACACACACACACACACACACACACACCATTTTACACAGGATTTCTCCAGTGGTGACACACACCCAAAGCCCACCTGACAGCCCAGGGTAAGCATGCCTGGGTAGGCCAGATGGCTCTCAGATCCCTTCCTACTTTACAGCCGTGATGCTGGGGCCAGAAAATGGACTTCTGCTAGTGCTCTTGTCCTCTGCCCTGTAAACGTTGCTTTAAATTGGCCCAATGAATCATGAAAAGGAGCTCAGAAGACTGTGGGAAAATGGCTACAGCAAGAAGAACGTTGATGCAGCCAGTTTCTGAATGTCTGGAAGAAGACAGGTCAGGAGTGATGGTTTAAAAGCTCTGTACTTCACTCCGATCATCTGAAACGCCAGTGGCCTGGAGCCCATGGGAAGCCTTCCCCAGGACTAATCCAGGCGCCGTTAAATGATCTGGGTGCTGGGGTGTGTGGCCACATTTGTAGCAAGATACGGTGTGAGCTCTGCCCGTGTCAATCATCGCAGGAAGGGTCACTGGGATCGGGCCGGTGTCTGCCAAGGCCACGCTGGCCGCCTGCACGGAAGGGCTGGAGGGGGACGTGATAAGGAAGGACACACATGACAGGCCAGGACTTAAGGTCAATTCCTCCTCAGCCATGCTATTTAGAGCTCTTTCTTTTTTCTCCTGATGTGGGAATGTGCAAGTATATAAAATAGGACAAGTTTATGACTATTATGAAAGCAACTCCTTCATAAAAAGACTAAAGGTGACCCAGAAGATGCAGGACAGACAGCCATTGCAGCAGTACCCCGGCAAAGGCATGCTAATGCCATCACGTCTTTAGACTGGTGGGAAACAGAGGGCAAAGCCTGCTGTCAGTGGCAGCTGGAGCCCACCGGATCCCGCCGAAGGTTTGGCTGATCCCTGCCCGAGGCTTATCGAGTCAATTAGAGAGGCTGCGTGTTGATGAACTCTGACTCCTTTCTGGCTAACTTCTCTCTCACTGCGCTTTCCTCGCCGGCCAGCTGTCTCTGCAGTCACAGGGAGGAGATGGGCAGGAGATGGCTGATGGAGGGTGTAAATCCATTCCAGCCACGGGGAGAAGCTCAAAGCAGGCAGTGGGTGGGGGTGGGCAGGCGGGTCAGGAGCCACAGCATGAGTGAGGAGCACACAGCACAGACCATGAGGAGGAGATGGGGGTTTCTGTAGCTACTGGCTCTATCAAAGCTCATGAAAATCGGTTGAACGGCAGCCTCTTCTCCCCTTCCTCCCCCCACCCCCAGGTCCACACAAAACTATGCAACACTAAATAGCTCCATGGGCCCTGGAGACCAAGGCTCTAACTCCCCTAGCTTGAGTACATTCTCATCATTTCATTGAGTTCTCACCTCCCCCACACGAGAACTCAGACTAAGAGAGGTTAGGAAATGCATTTGAGAGCAACACTTTCAAAGCAAGCTGACATTCAAACCAAGTTTTATTGACACAAAGACCATGATTTTCAAAATGTGGGTGCCCAGCCCTGGCCCGTTTGGCTCAGTGTACAGAGCAGTCAGCCTTCGGACTCAAGGGTCCCGGGTTCGATTCCAGTCAAGGGCACATGCCCGGGTTGCAGGTTTGGTCCACAGCAGGGGGTGTGCAGGAGGTAGCCAATCAATGATTCCCTCTCATCATTGATGCTCCTATCTCTCTCTTACTCTCCTGTCCTCTCTGAAATTAACAAAAATATATTTAAAAAAAAAAATGTGGATGCCCCGACCTGCAGCATCATCTGAGAACTTCTCAGAGCCGCTAATTCTACGTTCCCTCTGACCTGCTGACCAAGGGGCTCTGGGGTGGGCCCAGCAGTCCGTGCTTTCACAAGCCCTGTGGGTGCCTATGACACACAGTGGTTGGAGACCATTGAACTCCGCTGGAGTTGCTTTGAGACACCCACCCCCCGCTCCCCCCTGCAGAGGCAACTTGTCTAGAGTCAACCGGCTCTTTTCAGGTCGACCCAGAACCAGAACTGAAAACCTCCTTGTTCCTGTCACAATGCCAGGAAGGGGATTGGGAGAAACGGTACCCATCTCTGCCTCACTGCATCCCCATCCTGCCACCCCATCCTCACAGGAGCAGGGGCAACTCCAGAGCAGTGGCGGAGAGGAGATCTGGACTCATTTAGAAAGTAGGCAGGTTGCTTTTTGCATTCTCCTACCTCTCCTCTCTTGACACCTTTCTCCCTTTTGCTATTCTTCTAGGTGCCCCCTAAGCCCCCCTTTCCTGCCCCATCTGGGGTGACCAACCACCTCTGCATGCCTGGGACTAGCTAGATTTTAGAAGCCAAAACCCAGCTTCCTCTGATAGTTTTCAACCCCCAAAAAGCCATGCCAGTTGGTCACCTTATCCCCATCCAGCCTTATCAGTACTTTTCTCCTAGGCATAGTCCTGACTCAGGCCATTAGCCCATGTCATGCACATCCACTTAGCAAGCAAATATTGATTGAGCCCCTGCTACATGCTGAGTCAGGTGAGCAAAACAGACGTGATCGCTGTCCTCACCCTGCTAACAGCCTTTGGGGGGAAATGACAAACAACTCATTAAAATAGGCACTTTTTAGGGGGAAGTACAATGTCCTGGGAATGCGTTACTAAAGTGATTTCAGGGGGTGTCAAAGAAGGCTTTCTGGAAGACAGTACATTTTTTGAAGGGACAACATCTCTTACAGATAAAGCCTAAAGTTCTCTAAAAAACCAAGTGGATCAAAATGTAAGGGTGGCATTCAAGGCACGGTACCTTGAATTTTGAGAAAGGCCCCTTTCCTGCAAATATGGAAGCAGCTAAACACACACACACACACACACACACACACACACACACACACCTCTCCCTCCTGATCTTGCAGGAGAGAGTAAATTAAGACGGGACAAGCCATCCCCGGAGGCTGACCCCTTCCCCAGGCCATCACTTGGTGCCTGCCACTCCAAACAAGTGGATAAGTGGAGGCTATTTTGTGATAGCAACTGGGCAAACAAACTTGGAGACAAACACAATGTTGTCCAAGGCTCATTCCACAGGCCTCAGGCAGCAGGAGCCCTCAGGATGAGAAAAAAAAGTGGCCAGTGTAGAGGGAAGGACCAAGGCTTTGGGGAGAGGGGAGGGACATGGAAAAATTGAACTCTGTCAGCAATTTCTTTTTTTTTCCTTTTTTTTTTTCTTTTTTTTTAATCAGAAAACGTAGCAAGAAAAAGAAAGAAGGCAGTTGGACTTTTTAGTAGTCTTATAAACAGGAAAGACAAGGTGAAATTGTGTTTGCCTGAAGGTCTTTCATTAATTGAAACGTAGTAAATAATTGAGGACCATGGGCTGAGGCAATGGCTTGCTTCAAGATTTTCTACTGTTCTCTGCTGTTCCTCGTTACACGTAGAGTCTAGTTTCCATGGCCCGTCTCATTTCACCCTGCCCTCGCGTGAGATTTCAAGTTAATTTGCTGAAAAGGGTGACCTCAGTGTTTTTATTCACAGAGCCAAGAGCTGCCCTGCTGCCCTGACAGCAGCCCTGCTCCCGGGGTTTCCTGCCTCAGAGCAGGGGCAGGGGCAGGGCCGGCAGCAGCTCACGGGTGTGGGGTCTCTGGGCACCTGTGCCAGGCTCTGCCCCCGAGGAAGATAAAAGCTGGAGAAGCACAGGACGCCTCTGTCTCCACCGAGACAGGCCGGGCCAACAGCACATGGCGCCCGTCACCTCTGCTTGCAGGAGACCAAGTTTACGAAAAGTCTGGAACATTAAGAGAAGAAATCCATTAACACGTTGTGTCTTGGTGTTGCCATGTGTTTCTTTGAGATGGAGAAACACGCGTGGACAAAGGGGTGAGGGCTGATTCCAGGAGGGAGGGGTGAATTTTCTAAAACTTGTACACAGGCTAGGTGTCAAGTACTTCAGAGTAGGTAGTTAAGAGGATACAAAATTCATCACGGGTTTTCCAAAGCCGAAGTGCCGAAGTGCCAACGTATTTCTCAAAGTGGCAACATGATAGTAAACTTTAATTCAACAAATTGCGTTCTGAATGCTTATTCTGCAGAAAGCACAAGAAATGTTTGTAGAAAATGCTGTTGAAAAGTATGCAATTACATGTTAACCTTCGTCACCAAGGAGATTAAATTTTCTTCTTATATGTTCTTGTGGTACTTGCCATGTGTTGCTTTTTCTTTTTTCTTTATTTATTGAGATATAATTGACATATAACAATGTACTTGTTTTATTTGCACAACATAACACTAAAATCTTGATATTGTGGACTAATTTGGTAAAGTAGGTTTTCCGAATACATATCTTTAAACAATGACAAATTAACCTGTTTTTACTTATATAGACAATCAAGTGTGTATGAGAAGTTTACTTTCACAGAAAAGTTTTCTATATGCATTACTGTCACGTTAAGTGTATACTGAGTAGGTTTGGTAAATGCCTGAGTTCACCAGTCACCACGAGTGAACCAGAGCACACGGCTGGGGGTGGCTCAGCACAGGTGGAACATGGGCCTGCAACGGGTTAAACTGCTGCAGAAAGTCAGGCCACACGACAACGGAACCAATGACAGTGCATGGTGCGGTGTGATCACGTGCTAATCACTTGGTACACATTGTCTACGAACAGTGACTCTTGGATTTAAATATGTAGACTATGGTTGCAGACATGTAATAGTTATTTGGGCACAGGGGAGGGACATGGGCAGCAGTTGGGGAAATCATGACAGTGTTTTTCCCCCCAACATATGGCCTATTCTCTAAAATGTGTTTAAAATGACAGTGGCTTACTGATCAGCAAATCTTGGTTATACGTAAGCATTTTAAACTTAAAGGTGTTCACCTTCACATAGACAGGCAGACGGGAAATGTTGCCTGCTGAACCCAAGCCCCACAAGGTCTGCGCAATGGAGGGCATTGCAAAGCCGTGTTGCTTTGGTAAGTTCTCAGAGTGTGCTCAGTGATGACCCACTTACTGACGGTGTCATGCTCTTTAGGTCGCAGAGGAAGACAAGGAGGACAGTGAGGAAGAGCTGGTTTTCACTGAGTGTAACAGTGAGGTGTCCGAGGAGGTGTACACCGAGGAGGAGGAGCCCGAGGAGGAGGCGGAGGAGGAGGCAGAGGAGGAGGCCGAGGAAGAGGCGGAGGAGGAAGAAGAGGAGGAGGAGGACGACAGCCATGAGGAGGACAGCGCCGTGGAAGACGAGAAAGCCATCAACGGCACTGTGAACCACGACGCCGTCCATCCCGACGACGCCAGGCCCAAGACATTCAAAACTCAGCTGGACACCATCAACCTGACCAACGGCCACGGCGGGAGGCACCCGGAGCCCTCGCAGCCCCCTTCGGCCCCCCACGCCAGCGGCAACCCCACGGTGATCGAGGAGGTGCTGGCCAAGGTAGAGAGCAACGACCCGGACACGCGCGAGGTGAACCTCAACAACATCGAGAACCTCACGCCGCAGACGCTGGCGCGCCTGGCCGAGGCGCTGAAGGCCAACACGGCGGTGCGCAGCCTCAGCCTGGCCAACACGCACGCCGACGACGCCGCGGCCGCCGCCCTGGCCGACATGCTCCGCGTCAACCAGCACCTCACCAGCGTCAACATCGAGTCCAACTTCGTCACGGGCAAGGGCGTGCTGGCCCTGATGCGCGCGCTGCAGCACAACGCCGTGCTCACCGAGCTGCGCTTCCACAACCAGCGCCACATCATGGGCAGCCAGGTGGAGATGGAGATCGTGCGGCTGCTCCGCGACAACACCACGCTGCTGCGCCTGGGCTACCACTTCGAGCTCCCGGGCCCGCGCATGAGCATGACCAGCCTCCTGACGCGCAACATGGACCGGCAGCGGCAGAGGCGCCTGCAGGAGCAGAAGCTGCAGGAGCAGAAGCTGCTGCACGAGGGCGCGGACGGGGGCCCGGCCCAGCTCAGGACCGCCGCCGCCGCCTGGCACAGAGGCACGCCCGGCTCGTCGCCTTATGCATCGCCCAGGCAGTCTCCCTGGTCATCCCCCAAGCTCCCCAAGAAAGTCCAGGCCGTGAGGAGCCGCCCCCCGTCTCCCCCGGCCCCGCCGCCTCCGCCTCCGCCCCCTCCGCCCCCTCCCCAGGCCCCGCACCGCCTGCCGCCCCCGCCCCCGCCCCCGCCGCCTCCGCTCCCCGAGAAGAAGCTCATCACCAGGAACATCGCCGAGGTCATCAAGCAGCAGGAGAGCGCCCAGCTGGCTCTGCAAAACGGACAGAAAAAGAAGAAAGGGAAAAAGGTGAAGAAGCAGCCCAAGAACGTGCTCAAGGAGATCAAGAACTCCCTGAGGCCGGTGCAGGAGAAGAGAGCAGAAGACAGCTACCGGCCTTCCACCCCACAGCGGTCCGCCCACGACAGCCTCATGGAGGCCATCCGGGGGAGCAGCCTGCGGCAGCTGAGGCGGGTGAGTACCCCGACGAGAGGATAGTCTGGGGCGCAGGCCCCACGGCACAAGGGCACCTAAATCGCTTCCCAAAATACTGATTGCTGTTTTAATAAGCGAGAGCAAGCCTAGCAAGTTTGGGAACGTCAAGAGCAGGTCCCTGGTGAGCGGGTTTCCATCTGCGAGATGTGCCTGGTCCTTTGAGGTTTTTTTAAGGGCCAGCCCCATGTAAAGATGCCCCAACGTGTAAAAATGCTGATTCCCTTAATTAAAAAAAAAAAAAAAAGAATTAGGGCTGAAACCGGTTTGGCTCAGTGGATAGAGCGTCGCCCTGCGGACTGAAAGGTCCGCGGTTTGATTCCAGTCAAGGGCATGTACCTGGGTTGCAGGCACATACCCAGTAGGGGGTGTGCAAGAGGCAGCTGATGGATGTTTCTAGCTCTCTATCCTTCTCCCTTCCTCTCTGTAAAAAATCAATTTTATATATATATATGTATATATGTATATATATATATATATATATATATATATATATATTTTTTTTTTTTTTTTTTTTTAAATCAGGGAGTATAATCTGCATTCCAAAAAAGCAAAAAAGATCCACTTGTCCAAAATGTTCCGCAGGGTTGCAAGTGGTTTCAAGCCTAATTTGTAATATACAATTTTAATACCAGGTAGCAAAAACCAGTCCATCGCTGCGTTCCTCTCAGAGAATCCTGCTGGAGACATGCCTTAGAGATATTTTTCCCCTTCCTCATTCATGTTGTTTTTGTTGAAAAAAAATCCCATGTGTTTGTAGGTGGAAGTTCCAGACGCTCTGCGATAAAAACAACCTTGAGAAGAGGATGCGGAATCTTGCATTGGCACGAAGCGAAACGCATTGGGAGATGTTTCTGAAATACCTTCTTCAATTGGGAATGTCCTCTGACTTTCAAACGGAGCCTCAGCCATGAAGTCCAAAGAGAATCTTAAGAAACAGTCCACAGGTTTCTACTGTAAATATGAAAATAAACTTCTTTTTTAATGTCATGAGATTTGTATGGGCAGGAAGCAGTTTGTTTAAAGACGCTTCGTAGCTTTGAGCTGTTGAGTTAACAAAATGTGCCATTATTTTTGTAATCCCAATAAATTTTGGATTGAAGATTTTTTTATTTAAAAAAAACAAACTAATATTTTTTTGTGAGTTGATACATTTTCAGGTGTGTATGTAACATTGTTAAATATTAAAAATATTACATTATCACCCAAAAAGGGTTTTGGTCCTTAGCATTGGCTTTTCTTTGTCTTCTCCAAGAAAAACGTGATCAGGGTTCTTCCTAAAGGTCCGGGATCAAAAACTCTCTTTAAAGTCACCTTGGTAGTGAGATAAAAACTCAGGAAAAGATCCCCAAAGTGGACATTATCATCCTGGAGGCACTGATATGAGATCCAGGATGTCTACTGAACACCCCCACATTCTCATAAGACTTATCGGTCAATTTAATCATTTATCATTAAAATCACCTTTTTCTAGAAGAAGAAAATGGAAAGTTAGAAAGTTTCTTGGTAAACAGAACGCAGGTGGCAGGGCAATGCAGGGAAGACAGGCTGCAGGAATGTGGAACTCTCTGGTGGCTGATGTTGAAGATTCCTATTTCAGACGCTCCTTGGATGAGCCCTAGTCCAGTGGGCCTCAGCCTTTCATACCCTCCACACAAAAGTGACGGTTTTCAGCACCCATGACAAACATCCAGGGACAAGGTCACGTGTATCTGTAATCACAGAGTGTCACCACCCTATCCTCTCTCACTCAAGACAGATCTCAACTCAAGTAAGAAAGACTTCTCCACTCCAATCTACGAAAGCTATAAATCTCTTCTAATGTCCCTTGTCATAACTATGATGAGTAATGTTTCCTTTGTATCCTTCAGAGTAGAACAATGATCTTGGGTCATCTGTCCAATGATCATTTGCTCTACATATAAAGCTTTGGGTTACCTTCAATCAAAATTACCTTAAATTTTCATTAGAAAACTCTCCACTAGTTCTTGCTTGGGTCTGCATCTTTTAGACTATGTCTCTTGTTCTGCCATTCTCTTACTCAGAAAGAACAGCTGATCATTTTTCTCAAGGGGGTAGCTCAGAGCCGGGACATGGTGTGCGGAGTGACTGGCATTTTCTGAACTATCTAAATTGTCTCATGAGCTTTTCACAGCAACACTGACAGATGCTATCCCGTCTTTCAGATGAGGGAGCCCAGGCTCGAAGAGGGGGAGGCTGCATGAGAAACTGGCTGTCTGACACGGCTCGGCCCACACTCCCCTACACCTCGCTGTTCAAACCTCCCTAAGGCTCCCCATTCAGTTTTCCTTGGTAGAGACTTCACTTTTTTTTTTTTTTTTTTTTTTTTTTTTTTACCTCTTTTCATTGGTATTCACAATCATGCCCACTATTGCTGGTCAAAGAAATGAAAGCTAACAGGTAGGTTTTTAAAAGGTGTGTGTGTGTGTGTGTGTGTGTGTGTGTGTGTGTATGTGTGTGTGTGTGTGTGTGTGTAAGAGAGGAGAGAGAGAGAGAGAGAGAGAGAGTTTAGAACCGGAAACCAAGGCAGACCTTCCTTTTTCCCTGACCCTTTTGTGTACATGAAGACGAAGCCCTTCTAAAGGGGAACCACTTCCAATTCCTTCACGATGAGGCAGAGGAGCAGATGGTTGCTCATGAACTAGGTTGTTCATAAAACCATGCATGGACCCCAGGAAGTGGGTGTGCGACAACCCCCCAGAGTGAGGGGAGAGAGGAGCTGCCAGGCCTCACCAGGAGCTATCAGGAGACACATTATTTCCTTTGCATCTCAAAAGGCGGCCTTGCTGGAACTTCTGGGGCTGAGGAAAGAGCAGCCTGCACTTACAAGGGGCACCACAAAATGAAATCAAGATTTGGACCCTCACACTCTCCTAAAAACAAAAAATGAAATGTTATAAAGCCCATAAAGACAATATGACATGTGTGATATGATCAGACACCAAGTGAGTACACTGGTCATTCAGAAACACACTTCTAGAATGTGATTGCACAAGACAATCCTGTAAGCATGCAAGGTGTTACTCAGCACAAGGCGGAGAGTCTGAGCTCATCCCTCCTGCAAATGCATAGAGCGAATATGGAAACAAATTCGTTCATCCGCTATAAAGAGCTTTCAGCTCACAGGGAGAGAGGCTGTCCAAGAGCAGAGGCAGTGTTTAGGCCGTGATTTATATCTGCACATCAATCTCTTAAAGAACACCTCATCCCCACTTGAAGTGGGGCCAGGTACTGAGTCTCGCTGGCTCTGGGAGCCTGCTGCCACAGGTATTTAATAACTCGGTGTCAGCAGGATCTTGATTTAATACCTGCCCAGTTGTAGTGGCTACAAGTAAGTGAAAGGAGTGAGTGGAAGAGTGAGTGAAAGGAGGAGGAAATACCGGCTGCTATGCCTGTATGGAAATGCTGAAGGGGGGATAAATCGATACATTCTTAAAAAGATCTCTTAATTACTTCTTTTTTTGACAAAGTTAACATTGTCTTTTTCTTTGGTTTTTGTTTGACTTAAGAATTATAACACTAGCCCTCGCTGATTTGGCTCAATGGATAGAGCATATCCACTGGAGGGTCCCAGGTTCAATTCCGGCCAAAGGTACATGCCTGGGTTGTAGGCTTGATTCCCACTGGGGGGAGGGAAAGGATGGGGGCATGCAGGAGGCAGCCGATCGATGATTCTCTCTCAGCATGGATGTTTTTATCTCTCTCTCCCTCTCCCTTCCTCTCTAAAGTCAGTAAAATGTATTTTTTTAAAATATATTTTATTGATTTTTTCAGAGAGGAGGAGAGAGGGATAGAGAGCTAGAAACGTCGATGAGAGAGAAACATTGACCAGCTGCCTCTTGCACACCCCCTACCGGGGATGTGCCCGCAACCAATGTACATGCCCTTGACCAGAATCAAACCTGGGACCTTTCAGTCTGCAGACCGACACTCTACCACTGAGCCAAACCGGTTTAGGCAGTAAAATGTATTTTTTAAAAAGAATTACAAAACTAAAAAATATAGTATCAACACTGATGCACTTAACAACTCCCACACATATTTCCTGAGTGCCTACTAGGTATGCTTTTGGATACCGAGGCTACTGTACACAGCCAACAAAGGCGATACAACACCTGGCCTCATGCAACTTACACTTGGGTGGAGGGAGCTTACACCGTGACTTCATACATCACGCATATATTTATCAAGCGCCTCCTGGGGACAAGGTACTCTGCTCAGTGGTGAGACCAACCAACCTGAATTAGGAAGTATCCTCCACTTGAAAGTAATGGGAACCTGAAGCACATCATCCATTCTGGGATGCAAGGTAAGCCCTGAGCTAGAGGCAGGTCTATAGTGTCCTATGTGGGCACTGAGGACGCCTCATCATCTAGAACTCATCTCAGCAAACCTTTTCTGCAAAGAGCTAGAGAATAAATAATTTAGACATGGAGGCCATTTGGTCTCTGTTGCAACTAGTCAACCTGCTACTGTGAGGCAAAAGCAGCCATACACAATACATGAATGAATGAACCTGCCTGGTACTGCTACAGCTTTATGATTCTCTCTCATCGATGTTTCTAACTCTCTATCCCTCTCTCTTCCTCTCTGTAAAAAATCAATAAAATATATTAAACAAACAAACAAACAAAAAAGGTATTGTATGGATTTGACTGTGAGCCAGTCAAACTTGTGACCAGTGCCAGGCGTCTTCAAACTACGGCCCGCGGGCCACATGCGGCCTGCAGAGGAGTCTGATCCGGCCCGCCAGGTTTTTTGGGCAGTGAGCGCAGCCAAGGCGTTACAGTAGGAATTAGTAGTTCATATAGTCCGGCCCTCCAGCTCTCTGAGGGACAGTGATCTGGCCCCCACTTTAAAAAGTTTGAAGACGCCTGCATAGACCCTTGGCCAAAGGCAGATTAGAGGTCAAGAAAAGCTTAGCAGGGAAGGTGATTTGGACTTTTAAAGAACAGGGAAAATGCCAGGCTAAAAAAAAGTCGAATGATGGGTTGGGAGTTGGGGGGTGGGGAATGAGGAAGGACATTTAAGTTTGAGGAACCAGGGTGTTATAGAAAATAGTATTAAAAAACCATAGAATTTAGGTATTTCTGGGAAAACATTTGGTAAAGAATTGATATTTATCTTTTTTTCTAGTATTATTTTGACTTTTTCTATTTACAATAGTACATGATCACTAAGAAAAAGCAGAGTGGTCGGATAAGCAAAAGGAAGAATTTCTAAACTCCCACCCACATAGAACTACTGATAACTCATTAGCATATATCCTTTTAGGTCCTTTCCAATGCATATTTAAACTCACATATATTTTCTACAATAAGGGGAAGATAGTGTACAGTGCATATCCTTATGTAATCCACCATATTTTCTTTTAAGCAATTTCAATAATTGTTTGATATTTAAGTTATTTTGATTAGTCCTATGATGTTGGATTTTTTTGTTTGTTCATCATTTGAGTCATTCTAAATTTTAACTTTCCCCAAAAACTCTTAGAAGAAATTGAAGTCTGGTAGCAACCATACTTGGGTAAAAAATTGCTGTTTAATATTTTAACCTTGCTGTTTTGGGTTCTGTACTCATTTAAAAGTTATTTTGATTTTCTGAACCGATGTATGCTATTCCAACACTCCATTGATGAAGATTAGAATATCCCATTGATTGTGATCTCACTGGTCATCGAAGCACATTCTTCTGGGACCCAGGACAGATTAATTATCCTAAATTGCCTTAGTAGCTACAGATAGTGCATTCCTGTTGACTCAGTGATCCCAGAATCTGGATGGCACAATTATTCTAAATTGTCCAGGTGGTCCGTCGCAGATAATGTGCTTCTGTTGATTTAGTGATTTGTAGATACTTTAGATAACTTGCTCAGTTTCACTTCTGTAAAATCCAGAAACAAGTTACTCATTTAGACCCAAAGATGTAATCGATTCTTTTGTGATATTCTGCCAATATAAGACAGATGTGGCAAGCTGTTCAGAGCTGCGAGATTTGGAACTTTAGCCCCTCGTATGCTGCCGGCCTTTAATAAATTACTCCATAGTTGACTTTTTTGAGGCGTCCTTTGTAAGATGGGGGTTACACTA